GGCCACCGTCGCGCTGGAGCTTCGGTGGAGCGGCGTGACGCTGCGCGCGCGGTGGCGGGACCAGAAGCTCTGGGTTGTCACCGGCACGTCGGCGTGCCTCGCGGCCGTGTTCCAGGGTATCCTCCGCTCGTGCGCCGGGGTCGACGTCGGTTTCTCTTCCACCTCCACGGAGACGGCGACCAGGAGGCGGTCGTCCTCGGAAGACGACAATGGCGCCGGCGGCGACGAGCGGAAATCCGTGCTGCGGTGGTCGAACCTGCTGATCCCGCCGGCGAGTCTGCTGCTGGGAAACCTCACCGGCGTGGTGGTGGCCGTGTCGTACGGGGTGGACCACGGGTACCGGTCGTGGGGCCCGGTCCTCGTGAAGCTGGCTCTCGCCGGGTGGGTGGTGGCGCACCTGCAGGGCTTCTTCAGGGGCCTCCTTGCGCGGCGGGACAGGAGGGCACCCACCATCGCCGTGCTATGGTCGGTGCTCTTCGTGTCCGTGCTCTCGCTGCTCTGGGTCAACGTCGACTCCTACTCAGCGCCGCCGGCGCAGTCCGCGTCGCAGTGGCCGCCGATCTTGTGAGAAAATTGAAAAGGAGATTCTAACCTGGGCCGTGCCGTGCACTCCAGGCCCAAGACCACCGTGAGGGCCTACGCATGATTTTTTTTTGAAAACGCCTACGCATGAATTCTACTCACCTCATCCGGCTCGGTGCAGCCGTGGGGGAGAAGAGAGAACGTGGAGAGAGAAGAGAAGAGAAATAAGAGAGGGGAAAATAGAGAAAAAAAATGAAAAGTTTATTAACACAAAAAAATGAAAATGAAAACGTATTATGGGTTCTTACTCTTTTTGACAACGGAAATGCTCTCGTCAGGGCATCCGACGCTCCGCACGTGCTCTTTGTGGGCCTGTGGAGTCCAACACGAAGCTTGCTCCTGACTTCTTCGAAAAAAAAAATGATTCCGCCACCTCCTTCTCCAACTCAACCACCTGCTCCCCTAAAAAAACTCAACCACGTGGTGCTGGCTAGTCCTGGCGGCGTCGAGCTTGGTGCAGAGGCGCGTGTTCTCGGCTTGGACCCTCGAAGTCGGTCTCGAGGAACGGCATGATGACGACAGTCTCCTTCAGGATCTTGTGCTCCAGCAGCTTGGTGCGGAGGCCGGACTCCTGCTCCCAAAGCTTCTCGACAAGGCGGATGAGGTTCGCGGCGGCCTCATTGCACGCACCGGCTGCACCTGAGCGGACGACCGTGGGAAGGAGCGCGAGAATGGCCCGCCGGGGCCACGCAACCACCCGCCCGCTGGTATCTCCCCCCCACTCCGCGGCATCGAGCTCTGCGTCGGCGAGTCTCCATTCATCCAAGCAGCAAGTAGATGCTACACTGAAAGCACATGTTGTAAAAGTATGTTTCAAGTGTTTTCAGAGGTATGTTGCAAGTGTTGTATATTAATTGATGTTGCAAAAGTAGATCGGGATGTTGCACATGTTATAATGGCTATACACGTATGTTTCAAGTGTATGTTCCAAGTGTTTCATCTGTTCCAGACGTATGTGGCAGGTGTGTTTATTTGGATGTTGCAAAAGTAGATCTGGATGTTGCATGTTACAAGCATATGTTTCAAGTAATTCCATAGGTGTTTTCATACGCATGTTTGCAAGTGTTTCATCTGGATGTTGCATATGATTGCAATGGTTTTCAAGTGTTTTTCCACAAGTGTTTCAGACGCTTATTTCGAGTGTTTCATCTGCCTTCGGACGTATGCTACAAGTGTTGCATCCGGATGTTTTAAAAGTAAATCGGATGTTGCATCCCCCATCTCGCTTTCTGCTGCCTCACCTCGGTGTTTCCTCCCCCTTCCGGCCCTCTTTTCTCGATGCTGGTGACGTTCAGGATGGCGTGGGTCCCACGTGGACGCGTGAAACAGCGTGGAAAACGTCTACAGGCACCCGCAACGAAGAGAATTTATTTTACCGAACGATTCACCAAAACAGATTTAGTTCAGAGTTGTTTTTACAGAAACACAGAGGCTAAAAAAAACTATTTCGAAGCTAATTAGTGGGTGCGCTCGGCCCAGCCGACCAGGCACTGCCGCCCAGCAGGTTGAGTATTTTCCGTGGAGAAAAAAAGGGGACCATTCTAGTTTTGGAGCGGTCCGTGCCGGTCTCGGTTGGATCCTTTCCTTTCGTTCTCGTTCATTAAACACAAGGTCCGGCGACCGACGGGTCACCACCAGGCACCAGTAAAAAACGTCAATGGTCAAGCACGCGGGTTGCACGTCTAGTGTTGGGCCTTTGGAGCTACTAGTGCGTTAACCATTTGCCCAAAACAGGCACAGCAGGAGGCATGGCCGGTACCACGTACTTGCCAGTCCTATCACCGTTTGGGCTCTGCTTCTTGAAATACAGGAGCTGATAATTCAAGGTGCCCGGCAGTGCCCTATGGGACGTTCGTGGGTGTTCGCTTTCACGTCGAATTACTGAGCCTGAGCTCGGTCTAGCATCGAAGCTCCATGTTCGGAAGCCAAACACAGGGAAGCGCCATTGAACACTTGGCAATTTTTTTTAACTGTTTTGTGTAAAGGATCTGTCCTGGTAGGAATTAAAGAAATTTCATATAACCATCTTTCTCAAAGTCCAGTGCTATCTATATTAATGAATAGCGTAAGAATCCAAAATACACTCATCATAAGTACTACAAAAGTAAAAGTAGATGTTAATCGCACAAATACATCACATATATTTTTGTTGCTTCTAAGGCCAGTCCCAACGCTACACTCTTGCTTATAGGCTCATCCTCCACCTTGACATGCATTGTCCATACCATCATATTATCAAATTAGCTTTGCAAGGGGTCACTGATGCCTTTGCCTCCTAGCTCCTAAGACAAATAGCAGAACAGTAGCTTCGTTCATCATGTGTACAATGAGAAACCCAATCATGTGTTTCTGTGGTGCATGTAAAAGAATCTTTTCTGCGGAAAGGACAATTAGGAGAGTTGGCTTGCAATAGGAGACTAAGGGCATGATTGGTTGTCTTCCTAAATATGGCTAGCCAAAGATTTATTAAGCCATAATTTTGGCTATTATTTGGTTTGCTATCAAAATTTGCTAAATTATCAGATTTGGCTTGCCAAATCAATGACAAATTTTTTTTATCTAACTTTGACTTGCCAAATCTTTGGCATGACAGATTTTAAAGGCAAACCAATTAGGCCCTAATTCGATGGTACTGCCTTCGAGTTTTTCTTGTCTATGCACAATAACTTTTTTTTTTCTCGAGAACAAATATGGTATACACGGCCTGCTCTCATATACATTGTCATGACCTATAATTGGATAAAGTCCTTTTGGTAAAGGGAAATGACACACAACTATTGGAACGATGAACCATGATAAGGTCATAGTGTAAACCAACAGTCATTAGAAAAAGCATCATTGGTTTGTTTGGACGAGAAAACATCATGGAGCAGAATAACATACCTTTTACTTGATTTAAAATTCAAAAAGAAAAGAAATAAACCAAGAGTCATAGAAAGTATAAACCCATTTTGATATCTTATTCCCAAGGTTAACATAGATCAATGAGATAAACACTTACACCCTTCTTCTACAAAAGGACGTAACTATGAGATTTGTCATTTGTGCAAGTCAAACTAGTTTAACTTTAATCAATGTTATAGCATATAGTATTAACATCTACTCCCTCAGTCCCAAAATATCTGTCGTTTTTGTTTCCCGAGAAACAACTTTGACAAAATATATATTACAAAATATTAATATTTATGGTACATAATTGATATTACTGGAAAGATCTTTGAATCTAGTTTTTTAATAAATTTATTTGGAGATACAAATATTGCACGTATTTTCTATAAATCGAGTCAAACTTGCGGCACGGAAACAAAAAAACGACAGATAATTTGGGACAGAGGGAGTATATCTCCAACTCGATTTAGTATAGAAATATATTTCATAATTAATTTAATGGTTCTTATTGTGTATTATAAATATTAGTATTTTTATACAACTTTGATTCAAATTTTAAATACTTATGGAAAAGCGAGGTTACATTTTTTTTTTCCTACGCACGGATGTATATTGCCGTGATTCAAAATCCTAGCGTGGTAGTCTGGGACTAGCACACTAGCGTCCTCCGGCAAAATAGGAGAACCTCCCTCCGGTGTCCGGTCTCCTTGGTTTCCAAGGAACCAAAAATCCAAAATCAAAGCGGTGTTCACAGTGCACAGTCGCACCGATGGCACATGTTATGCTACCCCCACGCCAACCCGCGCATATTCGCCTCTGATTGGACGGGTAGAGGAGGAGGCCTTGTTTAGATGCCAAAATGGTACTGTAGTAGTTTTCGTTGTTATTTAGCAATTAGTGTTCAATCATAGTCTAATTAGGCTTAAAAGATTCGTCTCGTGGATTTCGTCTAAACTGTGTAATTAGTTTTATTTTTTATTTATATTTAATACTTCATGATGTGACGGGGAATCTTAAAAAAATTTGCAAATTTTTTTACAACTAAACTGGACCGGAGTCTCATAGGTACAGTAGGCGTAGACCTCGCGCTCCAGGTGTCAGAGCAGCAGCTGGTGGGCTCCACACCATGCCTCACGCCGGAAGCCCGAGCGCCGCGTCCACCAAAACACCGTACACCGCCACCTCCTCGTCCCATCCAACGCAGAAAACGCCCTCAAGTCCATACACCACGTGCACGCACTCCGATCCACCGCTTTGTGCAAGCGCAATCTCCACCACTCGTCTGTCGCGGAACCCGCGATCCAACGGTGAGCGTCTACGAAAGAGCCATAGACCGGATGCAGCGAGCTCTCCAACCACTCCCCACACACCGCTTCTCTCTCTCTTTGTGCGCTGCGCTCACACGCACGCATACATATACACACTGGCTTCTCTCTGCCTTCCCGGTGATCCCTCCCCTCCCCTCCGCTCCCCTTCCCGAAACCAAAAGGCATTGGGGTTTTAGTGGGTGGTAGCTGAAGAGGCCACCAATGGCGTCGTACGGCAGCGGCGGCCCGTGGACCACGGTTCCGGTCCGCTCCCGCAGGGCGGAGCCGCTCGCCCCCTCTCCTCGCGGCGGTGGCAGCGGAGGCGGAGGCGGCGACAGCGTGCCGGGGGTGGGCGTGCTCGCCGCGGCGGTGGATGGGCTCGAGATCGGCGGCGACGGGGAGAGGCGGCTGGACAAGTACGACATCCCGGTGCAGGTGAGCGGGGAGGGCGCGCCGGCCCCCGCCGACGGGTTCGAGGCGGCCGGGCTGGCGGAGGCCGTGCTCCGGAACGTGGCGCGCTGCGGCTACGACAACCCCACGCCCGTGCAGCGCTACGCCATGCCGATCGTCATGGCGGGGAGGGACCTCATGGCGTGCGCGCAGACCGGGTCCGGGAAGACAGCCGCGTTCTGCCTCCCCGTCGTCAGCGGCCTGGTGGCGGCGCCGGCGGGAGGAGGGAGCGGGTACGGGTACGGCCGGCGGGACAGGGGCTTCGACCGCGTCGCCAAGCCGCGGGCACTCGTCCTCGCGCCCACCAGAGAGCTTGCAGCCCAGGTAAAGGCTCGAGGTTCCGGCTCGCTTTTTTACTACGTTTTTCGCCGTTTGTTTGGAATGCGGTGCGGCGTATTCTGGCGTCGTCAATGCGGCCGCGCGCGGATGCCATTGCTGCCGCGCGGCTCGTAGATCTTGTTCGTTCGTGTATCCCTACTTGTTCGAAGGTGTTGTAGACATCACCGTGCTTTTGTTGTCGTTGTAGTGCTGGGTGTCGCGTGGCGTGCATGCCCGCTTCTGTAGCATTGCGCTGTGCGTATGCGGATGTGCGCGGACAATGGGCAGTGTGGCTGCTGCCCGCGCTCTGCAGAATGCATGTCTGTGTGCGAGTTGGTACCCTCGCGAATTGGGGTTTTGCCACTTACCCTTGTCGAATATTGCGCGGTTTCGCTGGGGACGAATTGCACATGCACCTGCCTAATGTAGATTGTATTGGTGAGATTCTAACTGATACACTAGATTTCGATGGAAGGATACACTTTAATTGCTGTATGCTTTGCTTCGGCCGTATAATTGGAGCAACATATCATCTGCCAGGTTCTATAATCCATCCTAGCATGCTAGAAATTTTTCTGCACAATTGTACATGGAAGGCATTAGTCATGGGACTGTAGTTTCCTGTCAAAAACAACAGGTCGATTGCAGTTTTCTGACAGATGAAGTCTGCTGTGTCAGGTTCCTTTTTTAATTTCCTGACTTTGGTTCCAGGATTGCTGGCATTGTTTCAGCGTGTGGATTAAAATGCCTATTAGTCACTACTTGCTGAATTGCTGTCCACAAAACACTGCACATGTTTTGTGAATTAGGATTAGGATGGGCCTCACGTACTTTGAGTATGTTTCTTGTCCTTCATTTTGAGTACAACATGTTTAGCTCTTCCTTCAATCAGATCTTGTGTGTAATTAATCTTGCTTCATCTGGACCATCAATGTGTGAATTTGCACATGTGAATGCTTGCTCTTTCCTATGATTAATGCTATTCTCCACAACTGCACTTTGGGCGTGTAGATTTCGACCCCCATTCCAAATTATAGCTTATTTTGGCTTTGTCCTAAGTCAAACTTAGCTAACTTTGATCAATAATAACATCTACAAGTTTAAATAAATGCACAACCAAAACATGGAGTATTTGATGAAACCAATTTGATGCTATAGATTTTGTTAGTGCATTTTTATATATACTCTGTTGAAGTTGAATAAGTTGACCTAAGATAAAGCTAAAGGGAGCTATAATTCGTAACGAAGGTAGTAACTTTCAATATGTCATCCTTGCCAGAATGCTAGTTCTGTTGGTCATTTTATAATGTAAATCTGTAGTTCTGTGTTGATATTTGTGCTTGAGGATGTTCTAGGTCATTCAATTTGGCATGTGTTTCCTTTTATGGCCCGTTGGGTGCCCTGAATTGGAGTGCTTTTAAAGCATATTTGAGCAGCCATGCTCGCTAGTGCTCCTACTGTGTCGTGAACTCGTGGTTGTCCAATGGCTACCAGGAACATGTCGTTGCTTCAAAGGACGGGGGCAGCAGGCGAATAGTATAATAAAATGGAATTGGACTTTCCACTTTTCAAGCCCTGAATCTTACATTGGTCTATAGGGCCTCACTAGAATTGATTAGAATTGTCATTTTAGTTCTAAACAGCACCAGATAGACCGTGCAAACAATATGATTATGATTCAACCCAATTCCAGAGATCCAAACAGGCTCTTATATATTTTCTCATGAATTTCTCTTTTTGAATCAATGGCATTAAGTGGTGATTGATGAAGCAATTCATGCTTGATTCCTATATATAGTGTTACTTCTGATTGGATTTAGTGTTTTTTGGTTTTATATTTCAGATTAACGAGGAGGCCAAGAAGTTTTCTTTCCAAACAGGACTCAAAGTCGTGGTAGCTTATGGGGGAACACCAATGTATAACCAGGTGGTTGCTGCTTTCTTGCATGCTTTTGTTTTTCTGCAACCCTTGTTTCGTTGTCTATTTATGAAGACTAGTTTATTTGTAAAGCAGTTCAGATAGCAATGTTAAGTGTAGAAGTAGAGCATATTTTTGGAAAGTTTTACCAAAATATCTGATAAATCATTGTCCCTGCAATTTCTTGATGTGGCACTCAACAGTGGGGCATTATGGGTAGACAATGCTGTATAACTTTTGTGAATGCGCACGCTGTATTTATATTGCCTGCCTTCACAATATTGATGTGGTTTCTATTTTTTCATGCTTGCTGTTTTTAGCTGCGTGATCTAGAGAGGGGTGTTGATCTTCTTGTTGCTACACCTGGACGCCTTGTGGACATGGTTGAGCGATCGAGGATCTCTCTTGAGGCAATTAAGTACCTGGTAATGGATGAGGCTGACAGAATGCTGGATATGGGGTTTGAACCTCAGATAAGAAAGATAGTTGACATGATGAATATGCCAAAAAAGTCTGTAAGACAAACTATGCTCTTCAGCGCAACTTTCCCACCTGAAATACAGGTAGAGAATTATGTTTACCTTGGACTTTTTTGTTTTGGTAAAGCAGTATGATCTGGAAGCTGAATATTTTTCTTGTTTTCTCCTATAACTTGCAAACTTTGGACTTTATATGGCATGCATTTTTTTTTTTCTGAAAGGGCAAGCATTTTATAAGAACACTGGCAACTAAATGGCACTTCTCTTTTTGAATAAAAGTGGATACCACTTAAATCTTATACTGCACAAGGGATGTTAGTCTTTAGGTTGTCATGATATAGTCTACAACTATTTGCTGTTAAATTGATACATATTTGACTGATGTCTTAATGTGTTTATTCCCAGAGGTTGGCTTCTGATTTCTTGTACAATTACATATTTGTTACTGTCGGGAGGGTTGGGTCAAGCACTGACCTGATTGAGCAGAAAATTGAGTTTGTTAATGATGGGGAGAAAAGAGGCTTCCTGATAGATCTTTTGCAGAAGCAATCTGTTGGTGTGGCCGATAGCAAGGTATATGGTAGCTTTTCTTATCTTGGATTGAAATTTGATGGTTTGCCATTTCTTTCTCAGAAACTTCTAATGTTAATTTGCATGTTTTTCTAGCTGCAGCAACCCCTAACATTGGTCTTTGTGGAGACAAAGCGGGAAGCTGATTCACTGCAGTATTTTCTACAGTCAAAAGGTTTCCCAGCAACAGCAATCCATGGTGACAGAACACAACAGGTGAATACATTTCTCGCTATAGTAATTGTCTAGCTGGTTCTTACATTACAGACCTAGAAACACGACACCAATTTTAGTCAGAAAATATCTGCAGTGGTGGTTTTATGTCTTTGGCCTCACTGCTACAGCACAAAGTTTGCACTGGACCATTTGTTTCCAGTTCTAGGTCTATGTACTGTTACTGAAAGCTTCAAACTGTATTCCTCATTGATGGCTTGAAACAGTATTTATGTTCCATGAAGATGATGGATCCTCTTTTGCCCCAACAATTTAATCTGCCTAACTTCATCCACCTGTATTATATTGGCATTCATCTTTTGCTGCTAATGCAGTGTTTATCATAACTGTATTAATTATGATTGAAAATGGCTGCATTTACTTGGCACGATCTTCTTTGACCCCAACATTCCATGACTCAAATGTTATCTGTTACCATGATATGATGCTGTTGGTACTTTCAGCACAGCCATTTAATAAGTTGCTACCAGTGAAAGTTTTCTGCATTTTATCTGTTATGTTTGGCACAAAATTAACCTATTTGTGCTTCCCTTTTAGAAGTATCATGCTGATCTAATTTATTCTAATATACATATTTTACATGTTCAGTATATAATTTCTTTTGTTTGTGCTTTCCCATTTTGTAGGAGAGGGAGAGCGCACTGAAATCCTTCAAGAGTGGCGCCACTCCTATCATGGTCGCCACCGATGTAGCTTCAAGGGGTCTGGATGTCCCGAACGTGGCTCATGTGATCAATTACGACCTCCCCAAGAGCATCGAAGATTACGTCCACAGGATCGGAAGAACTGGGAGAGCCGGAAAGGCTGGGATCGCCACCGCTTTCTTTACCGAGTCGAACCAACCCCTGGCAAAGGGCCTGCTGGAGCTGATGACTGAGGCGAAGCGGGATGTGCCTGAGTGGCTGGTGGAATATGCAAACAGGCCGTGCTATGGAGGGTCCAGCTATGGCGGAAGAGGCCGAAGGGGTGGCGGTGGGTTTGGTGGAAGAGACTATCGCTGCAGCAGTGATTATGGCTATGGTGGCGACGGTGGTGGCTATTCCAGGCGTGGTGGCAGCTACACTGGTGGTGGCGGTTATTCCAGCCGCAGTGGTGGCTACTCTGGTGGCAGCAGCAGCTACTCTGGCGGCGGTTCTCGTGGTGGTGGTGGCGGAAACTCTAGTGGTGGTGGCGGTGGAGGTTCCTCCGGGTCAAGTGCTCCTCCTCCCCGGTACTACCCGTCGTGCCCCATGGGCACCGCTGACATCAGCGCCTCTGGCTGGGACTAGTCAATGCCCACGCGTATCCGTAATGCACATACCATATAGATACATATACATATAGCCCTACTTCTGTAGTAGCTCAGTCTTTCTCTGGTCCTTTTGCCTTGCCTGCCCTCGTCTAGTCCTGCCATATACATTGCCATGGCCCTGTTGCACAGGGGCAAGCTTGGGAGTGGGGAACTTGGGGGTTGTTTTTTGTGTCAGTGTGGTGGGAGTGTTGCGACGATGGGAAACCACTTGGTGGTTGAACTTGAAGGTTATATATATGCATTATCAGATATTGGTTGTAACAGTGGCAAGTGACACTGCTGATTTGCTATTCAATCCAAGAGCTGTCCAGTAGTTGCTGGTACTCTGAATCTCTGATGAAAGATGGAATGGGGAGTTTGGTTTCAGGAGTTCTATATGTAGCGCCTCTTCACTTAATTTTGTTGTTTGTTTTCTGTTATGAAATGGATTGATTCATCCATGACAAGCTAATAGATAATATTAACATGAGAAAATATAGTTAGTCGTGTTATGAAACGGTGTTTGTTTCTAACAGACACCAGTGATCTCATCAACAGATAGCAGTTAGTTAGTATAGCAGTTAGCACTACGAAGGGGCATGTCCCTTTGGTAGTAGACTGTTTTAGTGAACAGTTACATTTTCCAAACAGTCACGTCCGTATGGCGTCCGTACAACGTGACTCTTCCGTACAATGCGACTCTTCACTTGTATATATATCTGAGAGATCAATGAAAGCAACAATTGTTCTCAAATCATTGTTCATTCTATTTACTTTCAACATGTTATCAACATGAATGTGGTACAACCGACTGAAGGAATTCCTTCTAAAAAAGGATACACTAACAATGATGATTGCCCATGTGTTTTCATTAAGAAATCTCGAACGAGATTTTATATTATATCCTTGATGATTTAAATATCATTGGCAGCCCAAAGGATATAGATAAAGCACGCAAACATCTAAAGAGGGAAATCGAGATGAAGGATTTGGGTAAGACCAAGTATTGCCTAGGTTTACAACTTGAGCACCGTCCTTTAGGGATTTTAGTGCATCAATCAGCCTATATCTAGAAAATATTGGAGAAATTCAATATGGATAAATCATACCCTAATAAAACTCCGATGGTTGTTCGTTCCTTAAAAATAGAGAAAGATCTATTTAGACCACGAGATATTGGGGAAAAGATGTTGGGACCAGAGATCCCATATCTCAGTGTCATTAGCCCACTTATGTATCTTGTAAATTGCACCAGGCCTAATATCGCATTTGCAGTGAACTTACTAGCTAGGCATAGTGCGGACCCAACTCGTCGTCATTGGACGGAGTGAAGTGTATCCTCAGATACCTTAATGGCACAAAGGATCTTGGTTTATTCTTTCAAAAAAAATCATGATCCCAGTATGATTGGTTATACCGATGTAGGTTACTTATCTAATCCTCATAACGGAAAATCCCAAATAGGATTTGTATTCCTACATGGAGGTACAGCTATTTCATGGAAGTCTTCTAAGCAGACTCTATCAGCAACCTCTACTAATCATTCTGAAATTATTGCTCTATACGAGGTATCACGAGAATGTGTATGGCTTCGCAAAATGATTAACCACATACAACGGTCATGTGGTATTGGTTCAATTGAATCACCTACAATTATCTATGAAGATAATTCCGCTTGTGTTACACAGATGCAATCAGGTTACATAAAGAGCAATATCACTAAGCATATTGCTCCTAAACTGTTTTATCCCCATGAATTACAAGAAAACAGGGAAATAAACATTTTGCAAATCTAAGTCATGTGATAATCTCGCTGATCTATTTACTAAGTCCTTACCAACTTCTGTGTTTCAAAAATTGATACATGGAATTGGTATGCGGCGACTTCCTAAATGTTGACCTGTACCAGCATCATATTATACTCTTTTCTTTCACAAGTTTTACTTACAGGTTTCTTGTTAAAGTTTTTAATGAGGTAATATTAATATAAGTATGTGTCATATTTCTAATTTTTCCCACCGGGATTTTTATGGAAAATATCAAAGACACATATTACCCTCACAACTCATACATGGTTTTTCCCTGAAAAGGTTTTTCATGTGAGTTATCCAAGAGGCAATACCAATAATATGTCGTCATATTTTCTCCTAATTTTCCCACTGGATTTTTGCAGGAGTTTTTAGCGACATATCATTTTATATTGCTCCTCATATTTCTTCTGAAATGGTTTTTGGGGAGTAATCTATATGTCGTATCTCCTATATTTTCCCTCACTAGGATTTTTAATAGGATACCAATGACATAATAATTTATTTAAATCACACTCATATATGCTACTTTCTTCTTATTTTCCTATAAGATTTAAAGGAGTTTTTATAGCATATCAATACATACATATTCCTCATATTTTCCCACAGGGTTTTTCGAGGAATTCAAGTATACAGCTGCATTGATCTCAAAGAAGATTCGATCAAGGGGGAGTGTTACGAAACGGTGTCTGTTTCTAACAGACACCAATGATCTCATCAACAGATAACAGTTAGTTAGTATAGCAGTTAGCACTACGAAGGGGCATGTCCCTTTGGTAGTAGACTGTTCCAGTGAACTGTTACATTTTCCCGAACAGTCACGTCTGTACGACGTCGTACGGCGTCCGTACAACGTGACTCTTCACTTGTATATATATCTAAGAGATCAATGAAACCAACGGTTATTCCCAAATCATTGTTCATTCCATTTACTTTCAACAAGTCGACCAAATTTCATGTCATGAACTCGGGACACCGTTTGGTTCATGGGGAAAAACGTAGGGAAGAACAAAGGAAGAAAAAGAGAGAGAAACCATTTCAGACGAAAGGTGACGAAACCTACACTTTTAGATGAATGAAAAAATGAGCTCTTAGCTCATGGAAATATTTCCTGTGACTCGCTTGCACACTCACACGCTAATCCAAGATGTTTTCTGTGTTTTTTTTTTTCTAAAGCTCGAGCAACGAACAATCATTAGTCACTATTGAAGAAACCATTCTAGAGGAAAAGGTGGTGAAATCTGCACTTTTGGATGAATGAAAAAAATGAGCTCTGAGCTCAAGGGAATATTTCCTGTGACTCGCGCGTGCACACTCACGCTAATCCAAGGTGGTTTTTTATGTTTTTTTTTTCTGAAGCTCGAGCAACGAACAATCATTAGTCACTGTTGAAGTATGTTTAAAGTTTACTAGTCCCTACTTGCATGCACATCCATGTGGGCTCATCCAAGACACTTCAATTTTATTGACACAAATACGTCAGCTTTGTAAAGAAGTATTTAGCTTATGTTTAGTCTAAACAACGTTGCCACAGACCAATAGATTCCTATGCTATTAGCATTCCTATGTTTCAAACACTATGTTTCTACAAAATTCATGTATTTTTCAATCCTATGCTTTATGCCTTAATTTCTTTTCTATTCTTTTGTTTTCTCTCATTTCTATGTTTTATATTCCTTTGTTCCAAATAGACCCTCATGATGTATAACTCATCTAGAATGAGGTGTTTTTTCAAAACAAACCCCTTTTAAATGCACTCCTAGATGTGATGGCTTGCTTGAAATTTGAATGCACTAGCACTTTGTGTTGTTGTTATGCCGGAATCTGTACTACTATGTAATTACCCTGTTGTGTTGAACCTTTCTTTCGCGGCGAAGGCCAAATAGCATGATGCTGCATTTTCCACAACCTGCTCGCTTTGCTGAAAAGTCAAGCTGAAAAATACTGTTCGCTGATTTGTTGTGAGAGAAAAACAATGTTCTTCCACTGAAAAAGTACGGCTGATAAACCAAGCGAACATGGCCGGGTGCTGGTTAGCTCTACCGGCCAAATGAGCGAATTTGAAAGTGGGCAGTGGCCAAATCTCCTCTACAAGTACAGTCGCTGAGCTCATTTTTGCTTAAACAAGTCCACCTTGTATCCATTTGAGCTATACCTTGTATACTAGCAAATGTTGTTAGTCTAAATTGTCATATTGTTCATCAAATGCCAAAATCAAACTTAATGGCATATAGAGTCCATTTTTCTTGCACCTCCCATTCAAGCACTTGGTGAAGTCCTAACTGTCTGGGGTATTTGCTACTCTCGGAGCAAGGCTCCTAGCAGGTTAGAGGTGGCCTGTGTATGTGAAGTTTGGATTGCCTGGATTGCTTAGTGGAACCCTCAAATTCATTACTTGGTAATGGTCTTGAGAAGAGGTCACTACGTCACACAGGGTTTGTAGGGGAAGCTCAAGACCATTTGTAGGGGCGGTTTGGCCAGCCGCCCTATCAAACCGTCTCTATAAATCATGCATTTATAGGAGCGGTTCCTAGACCGCCCCTACAAATCGATTTATAGGGGCGGCTGGTGTTATCAGCCGTCCTACAAATCGATTTGTAGAGGCTACCAGCCGCCCCTATAATACCTGTTTGTAGGGGCGGTTCAGTCTAGAACCGCCCCTACAGTACATTTTCCTGTAAAAAAATTTAAATTTACAATTCAAATTCGACCAGAACATACATATAGCCCCGTTTGTTTCCGAGTATTCCAGCGTTCGCGATGCGAGTGAGCGAGGAAAGCGAGATAATCTCGCCGAACGCCCCGCGACCAACGCGCGACCGGGAATCGCCCGCGGCATGGAACGCGCGAAACTTAACCACGACCTGCGATTCGGAAAACGCAGCCTCACAAGAATATATACAATCCATCATTAAATAGACATAATTCACAAGGTAAAACCAATGTCAAATTTCATACACATTGTTATCAACGGCCTAGAGCTAGTCTTTCAGTCTCACGAAGGTGTTGGTACTGAGGATTTCTACCTAAGTCAGACTCTCGGTTATGGTAGGTGCCTTTGACGTGTACAATCTAGTCCAATATGAAGTTACGAGCTCTAAGAGTTGGTCATCCTTGTATGGGCCTCTTTTTATTTCTTTCTCTTCTTTCCACTACAAGAGAACAAGTTTGGTTTAGTATTTCATACCAT